ACAGCAGCCAAAACCCTCATCCACGCCTTCGTCACTTCTCGGCTGGACTACTCCGAAACTCCACTCCCCGATCACCCCAGTCCTTGCCAGACTGCACTGGCTCCCTATCCCAGAGAGGATCAATTTCAAGATCCTCACTCTTGTACTCAAGTCCCTGCACTCATCTGTAACCCCGACTTCTCTGACCTCCTCTCTCCTCAGCACAGTACCTGTTGCCTTTGTTCCTCCGGGTCTGGCCTCCTCCTTGTCCCCCGAGTCCTCTGCTCCACCCCCGGTGGCCGTGCCTTCAGCCACTATGCCCCGAGGCTCTGGAACTGCCTTCCTCACTCCCTTCGTCTCGCTCCCTCCCTTCCCATTTTCAGGTCTCTGCTGAAGACCTTTCTTTTCGACCGCGCCTTTGGTCACCTTCCCCCCCGCTCCGCCTGGCTCGGTCCCGGGATCCGAAACAGTAAAGCGCTCTGAGACGCCGTTCGGCGTGGAGGGCACTATATAAATCCAAGTTGTTGTTGTTGTATTCCTCGCTGGTCTCCCCAGCTCCATCAAGATCTTATCACTCGTTGTCAAATCCCTTCATGCTCTATCTATCTATCCAACCTGTTCAGCCCCTAGTCTACCACTGCCTCCGCTCGGCTGGCTCTGGCCTCCTGATCGTCTCTCGGTCCCTCTATTCCACCATCAGTAGCCTCCGTCCATTATGGCCTAAAGCTCTAGAACTCTCCCTCAATCCCTCCGCCTTGCCCCTTCCCTATTTTCAAATCATGCTTAAAGACCTTCCTTTTTAATTGGGCTGAATGTCACCTCCCCCTCCCTCTCCCCTTGGCTCGGAGTCAGACTCCACCACTATGAAGCATTCCAGGATGCTACTCCATGTGAAGGGTTCTATACAAATGCAAGCTGTTGTTGCATCCAAACCAAATTCCATGCATCCCACTTACACATAGAGATCCCCATACATTGGAATGAAATGCGCACTCTCACTCTGGAGGGACATCCTGCTTACCTAATTCCAAAGTAATAGGTGCAGGTTCCCAAGAACGAAGGCTTGTGAATCCGGGCACGGACAGAGGAGGCAGAGGGATTAGGAGAGGGGTCTCCAAACAATTGATCACCGATAGGTGGCATCTTGCACGTCCTCAATAAAAACAAGAGACAGAAGCGTATTTACTGCAATTTAAGAATGAACATTTCTATTTCAAGAAACTTTGTGCCTTTGGCTTCATTTTCAATTTGACTCGAAATTGATGCAGATCTATATCGTACTTTCCTCTTGTTTTTTGGATCACGCAAGACAGCGCCACCTAAGTTGTTGATGTTGTTATTCAGCTTGTCTGACAGACATCAAGGCCTGGATGAGCACAAACTCTCAGCAGCTGAACGTTGAAGACAGAAGACATACACTTTGGCTCTGGTCGACGTCTTCGCTCCTGTGGTTCGACCTCCTCAACCTATCTGATATCTCCTTCAGATTCACCAAACCCGTGCACATCTTAGGTGTCAGGTTTGACCCCAGCATCCTTCCTACCCCACCCTGGCCAGACCGATTTCCTCCACCGTCCATACCTCACTCCAAAAGCTGCCGCTTCCTCGCCTTCATTACCTCCCACCTCGACTACTCAAACGTTCTCCTCGCTGGTCTTCCCTGCTCCACTATTCACAAAATTCAACTAATTCAAAACTCCGCCGCCCATATTTTCACCAGCACTAAACTCCGTACCTCCATTACTCCAGTGATTATCAACCTTGATTGCCTCCCTGTCACAGAGTGGATCGATTTCAAAATCCTCACTCTTGTATTTAAATCCCTTCATACCCTGGGACCATCCCCACCTGCTCTCTCCCAACACCACTACCAGCTGCCTCCACTCAACTGGCTCTGGCCCCTCCTTGTTGCCCGGATCCTCTGCCCCACCATCGGCAGCTGTGCTGTCAACCACTCCGCCCCAAAGCTGTGGAACTCTTTCCCTCAATCCCTTCGCCTTGCCCCCTCTCTTCCCATTTTCAGGTCACACTCGAAGATCATCCTCTTCAACCGTGGCTATGGTCGACCATAGACTTTTGTTCGACCCTGAGCTGTCCTTTCTCCCTCACATCCGCACCACAACTGGCACCGCCTTCCATCACCTCCGGAATATCGCCAGACTACGCCATTACCTCACCCCTCACGCTGCTGAAACCCTGGTTCACGCCTTTGTCACCTCAAGGCTGGACTATGGGAACTCTCTCCTCGCCGGCCTTCCCGCCAACTCCCTCCACAAGCTGCAGGTCATTCAGAACTCTGCAGCTCGTGTACTGTCCCGCACCAGGCTTCGGGACCACATCACTCCCACCCTCGCTCGCCTCCACTGGCTCCCCATCCCCCAGAGGATTGATTTCAAGATCCTCATCCTCACCTACAAGGCCATTCACGGCCTTGCTCCCTCCTACCTCTCCAACCTACTATCCCCCTACCTACCTGCCCGTACCCTCCGCTCCTCTGTCTCCGGTCTGCTCCACGTCCCCCGCCCCAACCGCCCTACCATCGGTGGTCGGGCCTTCAGCCTCTCAGCCCCCAGGCTCTGGAACTCCATCCCCCAGTGCCTTCGCCGCTTCCTCCCTTTCCTCCTTCAAGGCCGGTCTCAAAACCTTTCTCTTTGACCGTGCCTTCAGCTCCCCTCTCGACTCTCTTCCCCCTCCTCGCTCCCTCCCCTCACCCTGACCATTTCCCCGCTCCTCGCTCCCTCCCTTCCCTCCCCTCACCCTGACCATTTCCCCCCTCCTCGCTCCCTCCCTTCCCTCTCCTCACCCTGACCATTTCCCCCCTGCTCGGGTCATGACCCAACTGTGCAGCGCCTTGGGACGTCCTCCTGACGTGAAAGGCGCTTTATAAATGGAATCTTGTTGTTGTTGTTGTTGTTGTATGGTCACCTTCCCGTGACTCGGTATCAGGCTCTGCCACTGTTAAGCGCTCCAAAATACCTCCCGGCATGAGGGGGCTCTATAAATGTAAGCTGTTGTTTTGGGAAAGTGGAAAATAAACTGAAAAAGAGACGTCAGATAAATTATCGAAAAAAAGGAATAGTAGAGAGTGCAGCTAGTAAAGAGAGTGGGATTAGATTAAACTGTGGAGAAAATTACCAGCACAGACTAACTGGGCCAAATGACCCATTTCTCTGCTCAACATTCTAGGAATCCAACGAAACTGTATCCGTAATCCAAAAGCGCTCCAAAATTAAGGAATGTTGTTAATATACCCTCCTGCCATCTGAGAAACAATCACGCCCAGAGTCAACCCTTACACGCTCGGGGAGACCAGTTTGGATTCTCACTCCACAAACCCGCTACTTTTAAAGTGGAACCAGCCTTTCTAAGATTGACATTTTCTCCAATCATTCATTAGCCAGCTTTGGTCACTACCAAACTCAGTAGTCTGAGGAGGGCATCATATTTCAAAGCACACTGTAATGACGTTCCTCAAAATAAGTAATAGGAAGGGTTTAGCATTTCTGACCTCTAACGTTTCACTTGGCTTTGCGTACTTGTAACTGTTCGTCCTTTACATTATGAATTCACAGTCAATACCAAAGCAGCGGGTGTTGGTTGGCAGTGAATCAATCAGACATTCCAAGAGGCGTCACTGTGCCAAAGTGCTAGAAGCTATTTCCTGCCTTACCTCAGGCAGACAATTATACAGTGGCAAAGCCACTGTATTCACTTCTATGATTGATATCTAACAATGACCCTCGTCCTGTCTTTCTGAATAGCAAAATAAGTTGCTTTCCTCTCTTTCAATTCACAAGACTGGTTTGGAGGAAGAAAGGCCATTTCATCTCAGCCTTCCCATTTAATCAGCGCCTTAGGATGTCTTCCCGACCCGAAAGGCGCTACATAAATGCAATTTATTATTGTCGTTCCAAAATATTCACCCTAACATTGGACTATTTGAGCTTCAAGCTGCATCTTAAATACATAATATAATCCTTGCATTTCATATAGTCACTTAGCATGTCTTTGAGACGTCTCAAAGCGCTTCACAGAATATACGGTAAAGTGGATTGACTGTATTTTGTGGATGAAATACGGCAGCCAATTGCAACAATAACAAAATTACATTGGTATAGCGCCTTTCACGTCGGGAGGACATCCCACACAGCAGTGTCCTGTCAACAGTCGTGGAATGAATGACCAAGTTTTTTTTTTGAGTGATTGTTATACCCAGAAAGCGATCCGCCATTCGACTAACAACCGGGATCATATTTACTGCTAGGTAAATAGGTGTGTGGAGTAAGGAGACTGGCCTAAAGTTTTGCGGCTTGGGAATCAAACCCGGGTTCTGTTACTTGCAAGGTGAGCACATTAACCACTACACTAGGGGACTCCCGATAGAGACCTGATGACCCAGAAGTCGGTCATTTTAGTGCGAAAATTTAGCACACCGAAAGCAAGCTGGCCAGCCATGCACATGCATGGTGAATAGGGTCCACAGTGTAACCAGATTACAATATGCACTATAACGAAGCAAGTTATTACAGAACTGCACTGTACAGAACATGACCAGGCTGAAGGGCAAAAAAGCACAAGTTAGTTACAGCTTTCAACTATTCTACTCTCTGTACCTCCATTCACAGAATTCCTCCGTCTCTCCTTCCCTCCCGGCTTTTAAGGCTACTTTAAGACCCATCTCCTTGATCGTGCTTTCAGTCATCTTTGCAACTCCCCTACCCAGCTCAGGTGATCAGTTAACTGCTTGAAGTGCTTTAGAATAATAAAATAAATAATAAATAAATAAAAATAATAATGTTGTCACTTTGTAAGACACTGCTGTGCACAATTGGCTGCCACTTTTCGCCCACAAAATTTACAGTCAATTCACTTTACAGTATATTCTGTGAAGCACTTTGAGACGTCTCAAAGATGTGATAAGACTCTATATCAAATGCAAGGTTTATTATTAAGGATCAAGTTATTTCCACAACAAAAACAGGGGAAGATTATAAATTACTGTGTATTTTTGCACAGCTCACCTCTAATTCATGAGGTTGCCTCAGGTTCTGTGCCAACGCAAAATTTCTGCCTTCAGCAGTGTCGACTCCTGCGAAGTTTCCCAAGCTCACGTCCCACGTGTCGACCGGGAAATGGCTGCACTGGTGAGGTAGTGACTCCGTGATTTACTGTGAACTCGCCTGCAAAACAGGAGATGGGTGAACATTTAGAATTCCAGCACTCTACTGATTAGCTTTCAGGTTAAGGATTAGGTTAGTTAACTATTTATACATTTCTGAAAACGTTTGCCCTAGTTTAGACCACATCTGGGGGGGGGGGGGGGGGGCAGGAGAGGGCAGGAGTTGGCAACAGCACTAACATGATGGAGAAGGCAAAGGTGGAAATGGGACTAGAACAGAAAGGTCCAGTGGAGGAGAGTATCAGCACAAGCACTCCAGTGAAACTCATACAAGTCATAACAGTTGAGACCATAACATTTAATATGTCTTACGCAAAATCCGAGTTGCAAGCAAACTATATCGTAGAAAATGCAATTTAATCAATAAGCTACACAGCACGTGATTAATTTAATACAGCCGGTAAGTGCTCAGGGGGAAGACTACATTTTCCACAATTCTATGCAATGTAAGTGCGGAGGGAGGGAGAGAGGGAGGGCGGGAAGAATGGGGGAGTTGAGGGTGTCACGGTCAAGGAGATCCATTTTAAGAGAGTTGGAAGACAAGGGGAGAAGGTGTAAGGTGAAGGGACTCAGATTGTTCCAGAGAGCCAGGACAACAAAACTTGCATTTATATAACCCTCCTCACACAAGGAAGCATCCCAGAGCACTTGACAGTGGCGGAGCATGACTCTGAGCCGGGGGGAGGTGACCGTAGGTACGGTCGAATAGGAAGATTTTCAGGTGCGACCTGAAAATGGGGAAGAAAGATGCAAGGCGGAGGGATATAGGAAGTATGTTCCAGAGTTTCGGGGTGTATGGCTGAAAGCACGGCCACCAACGGTGGAATGGAGGGGCACGAGGGACAAGTAGAGTTTGTGGGACGCTGCTGTGCCCAATTGGCTGCCGCGTTTCACCCACAAAATATACAGTCAATTCACTTTACAGTATATCAGCGCCTTGGGACGTCCTCCCGACGTGAAAGGCGCTCAATAAATGGAATCTTGTTGTTGTTGTATATTCTCTGAAGCTCTCCGAGACTTCTCAACAACAACAACGTGGATTTATATAGCGCCGTCCACCCCGGACGGCATCTCAGAATATCGAAGATGTGATAAGCGGTTATATCAAACAATAATAATCCTTGCAAGGATTATTACATATCTATTCATATAATCCTTGCATTTGATAAAGTGTTATGGGAACTTTAACATTCACCTGAACAGGCAGCCAGGACCATCATTTAACGTCTCATTCAAAGGACGCCACCTCCACAATGAAACATGCGCCAGCACTGCACTGAAATGGCAGCCTAGGCAATGAATAAGTTGTTGAGACGTCTCAAAGAGCTTCACAGAGTATATTGTCAAGTGAATTGACTGTTTACTTTGTGTGCGAATTTAAGACTTTCCCAAATTTCTACAGGATTTTAAAATATTAATTCAATGGTCTTGAGGTAAAACCATGAGAATTTTTATACTTCAAGAGCTAGAGCAAAAAATAAATCATTCTTAAGCTGCTTTGTTCAAATAAATCGCTGAAACATTTGGAAAGATTAGCTCGTAATAAACACTTGTTTTCCGTCTTTTACGTAAGGCAGTGATGAGAATCAGGTCTGTGGGACTTTCTCAGGCTGTGGAACATAGTTACATTTTTACTACGCCTGATCATGTTCAAATGTCTCAAAAGACTTCACAAGTAATTACCATGAGATACGGTGAGTGTTTCTGGATGCTACATGGCAGCTATTTTGCATACAGTAAGGTTCCATAAACAGCGTGAAGGTGCGTCCAATTTATTTGGAGGATTATTGGCCAGGATCCTGGGAGAAATTCCCTTCTCTTTTCATGTCATGCAATCTTCAACATTCACTGCAAGAATTTCACTCCTGTCCTGTGCCTCAACAACAACTTGCATTTATAGAGCGTTCTTCACATGAAGCAGCATCTCGGAGCTGTTAACAGTGGTGGAGCCTGACTCTAAGCCGGTGAGTGGGAGGTGACTGTAAGAATGATCAAAGAGGAAGGTCTTCAGTCGTGATCTAAAATAGGGAAAGGAGGGGGCAAGGCAGAGAGATTGAGGGACGAGTTCCAAAGCTTTAAAGCGTAGTGGCTGAAAATGCGGCTGCCGATGGTGGTGCTGAGGGGAAGAGGGACAAGCAGGAGGCTGGAACCAGCTGAGTGGAGGCAGCAGGTCATGAAGTGAGGAGTAAGCAGATCAGAAAGGTGGGAATGAAGTGATTTGTAGACGAGCGTGAGGATCTTGAAATCGATCTGTTTTATGACGGGGAGCTAGTGGAGCCTGGTGTGATGGTGTACAAAGTTTAGTGTGGGTGGGTGGCTGAGTTTCTGGGTCAGTTGTAGTTTGTGGGTGGTGGAGCTGGAGACCAGCAAGGAAGGCATTGGAGTAGTCAAGGCAGGAGGATCAGCAATGAGCGTCAGCCTAAATTGTGAACTTACAGAGAATGTCAAAGCCATCATTAAAGACCAAAATAGAACAACCACACTGCCTAACAAACAGGATTGTGCTGTGCTCCACTCAATGACCCAGTGCCGATGGATAGAGAAATACCACTGGTTAAGTACACAGCACTCTAGCCGCTGGTCACATGATAATGGGTTTGAACCCCGCATAGGACTTCAGCTCTTCATCCATCCAACCATACATATATAGTGCATTGGGAGGTGAAGTCCTTCAGTTACAACAACAACTTGGGAGTCTTGTAGCATAGTAGTTAGAGCACTCGCCTCACAAATAATCACAGGATTATTTGATTCCTGGGCAAAGTGAAACCTTAGGCAAGTTTTCTTACTCCACCTTTGTTTACCTAGCAGTAAGCAGAACCCTGGTTGCTAGTCAACTGGATGAACGCTTTCTGGGATAATAATTCCTCAAAATAAATACTAATAACTTGGTCACTCAATCCACAACTATCTGTGGGACATTGTTGTGAGCAATTGGCTACCGCCTTTCTCCCAAAAATACAATCAATTCACTTTACAGTAAATACTGTGAAGCGCTATGAGACGTCTCAACGACACAAGGCCTTGTATCAAATGCAAGCATTATTATTAATACCATCTTGCATTTACACAATGCTCTCCATGTAAGAAGCAGCTCGGAACATTTAACAGTGATGATCTCTCCTTCAAATATGCCTTGTAGCAGAGAACGTCCCTTTGTAACCACCTTTACACCTGTGGAGTCCTGTGGCTCAGTGGTTAGAGCACTCGCTTTGCAAGTGAGAGACCTGAGTTCAATTCCAGGCAGAGGGCGAAACCTTGGGCAAGTTTCCTTACTCCACACAGAGCCTAATAATAATCCTCCAAAACCAAAAACAATAATAAATTGGTCATTTTCAATCCCCGACTGTTTGTGGGACATTGCTGTGCGCAATTGGCTGCCGCGTTTGCCCACAAATATACAGTCAATTCACTTTACAGTGTACTCTGTGAAGCGCTTTGGGACGTCCTCCCGACGTGAAAAGCGCTATATCAAATGCAAGGATTATTATTGTGGAGTCCTGTAGCTCAGTGGTTAGAGCACTCGCTTTGCAAGCGAGAGACCTGAGTTCAATTCCAGACAGGGCGAAACCTTGGGCAAGTTTCCTTACTCCACACAGAGCCTAATAATAATCCCTCCAAAACCAAAAACAATAATAAAATTGGTCATTTTTAATCTATGACTGTTTGTGGGACATTGCTGTGCGCAATTGGCTGCCGCGTTCGCCCACAAATATACAGTCAATTCACTTTACAGTGTGTTCTGTGAAGCGCTTTGGGACGTCCTCCCGACGTGAAAAGCGCTATATCAAATGCAAGGATTATTATTATTATTATTATTTACCAGCTTACGTCTCTGCAAACCTCAAACTTACGCACACTGTGAAGCACTCTGACGAGATAAGGCTGTATACTGGATGCAAGTACAGCACAGCCATGGTACAGCATGTTTTGTTATAATGTGAGTAAACATAGAATTAATTAGATTCCTGATAAGGTTTTTATCTTGGAGCTACTATAACAAAAAAATGCAATTAATTATAATGTATCGGTTTAACTCACTCTTTACCATCCATGACTATTATAATGATAATAATCCTTGTATTTGATATGGCACTTTATCACATCATCAAAATATTTGTAAAGTGAATTAACTGTATATTCTTTGGCAAAACACAGCAGCCAATTGCGCACAGCAATGTTCCACAAACCATGGTGCACTGAGTGACCAAATTATCATTTTTATTTTTTTAAGGGATTATTACCCATGGAAAGCGATCCACCAAACAACTAACAAATGGATTCCTACTTACTGCAAGGTAAACAGAGGCGTGTGGAGTAAGGAAACTTGCCTTAGGATTTATCAAGCCCGGGTCCTCTCGCTTGCAAAGCGAGCGCCCTAACCACTAAACTACAAATGTTTATTAACAAATTTTATTAATTTTTTTAACCATAAAAACTATGAATTTAGCTGTGGGATTCTGGATCCCACTGACATTGGTGTGTTGAGGTAAGTAAGAAAGACAGAGTATCCACTGCATCTCTTGGGGTCCCAAGATAAGAAGGGTCCCACCACCAATCACTGCTTAAGCCACAATGGCTCTTCAACTCTTCCAGGATATCCCTTTGCCTTGAACTGACACTCAGATCTCACCACAGCTCAAAATATGATCTGCTTTTTAAATAGTCGGTCAAAATGAAATACGTTTTTTCTTGTGCAGTTGGCCAATCACAATTTGATATTAAGTTTGACCAAACCGCGGCACAGGGAGGGGCACTCTATCACAGCTGGAAGTCGCTGGCCTTAGTTTTGAAGTTCAAAGGCTCGAAAATCCATTTAGTCTTAGCCTGAGACCCTTTTGTCTCAAAAGCTAAGATGGTGGAAAATTCTGAAAAGTTCTTAAATTCAGTCTCAGTTTGGAATAATACAGCGCCTTATCGAGATTGTCTCAAAGTGCTTCACAGAATATACTGTAAAGTGAATTGAACGCTGTTTTTCTGCATAGAATTACATAAGAATTG